GTCGCTATGGGGGGAGTGATAGCAGTGGATTTAGAAACCAATTCTAAACAGGGGTTTCTAATGATATAATTAAGAGTTACCACTAGATCTACCACTAAATCCCAGGAGGACCCTTCTCGAAGTCAAGAATCTGAGTGTTCGGGAATGAGACCGTTGACAGTGCCTTTATGCTTTCCGGTGTAAGATGTTTGCGTAATTTCGACTTGAATACCAGTAACGTAGGCGATAATCTAATTTCAGGCGGAAGATTATTCCAAAGGAAGGCATATTGGAAGCACAGAAGGGGGAGCGCTTAGATGTAGTACAAAGAGGCGGCGGAATCACCATGCAGGAGTTGCGCGTGGCATAAGACCGATCTCTCGGAGTGAGAGTGTCAATGTGCGGAAGACTGGAGCTAGAGTTGATGCGAAAAAGGAAGCAAAGGCCAGCTTCGAGCCTTCTAGCACACAAAAGCTTAATGTTCGCCAGCTGACATCTCTGAGTATAAGAAATACTGGACGAAGCTTGAGAGAACAGTTTCCGGGTGAAAACCCTCTGAACATTTTCGATTTTATTACGGTCGCAGGCGTTCATTAAACAGAAGAAAGGACATCAGTATTCAAGGACTGGAAGAACAAACATTTGATAAAATCTTAGCTTCATTTCCGGAAGGAAAAAATTATGCGATATGAATCCACATATCTGCGCGGCTTTGGCAGAGATTCTATCTGCATGAGGTGATAAAGCAAGCTTATTTGTATAACTTAGACCTAGGTCCTTTATGGTGAGGCATTCTGAGAGTGGGTTATTCTGAAAAATTATGGGACCAGGATGTTTGGCAGGACCAAAAGACATGAAACTACACTTGGATGATGAAAACTCCATCTGCCATGTCGAACCCCATCTGCTTAAGTGTAGTAGATCGACATTAATTTTTTCAACACAAACGTTTGCGGTGTCCATAGAACATGAGTAAACACACTTGAGGTCATCGGCATAAGTAAAAGTTTGCGAATTTCCGAGTTCAGTCGAAATATCATTGATGTACAGAAGGAAGAGTAGCGGACCCAGTACCGTGCCTTGAAGTGTGCCATTTGTGATCGAGTGAGGTGTCGAGTAGCTATTACCGACCATGACTTTGTAAGAGACAAACCCACTAGTTGGGCACAGCAAGTGCTGTACGGATACCGAGCATGACCAAAGGCAGATGCTCGCTCCAATGGGAAGGGTTGTCATGAGCTCGGAACGAGGCTTTGATTAGCCGGTGGAAACGCTCGACTAAGCCGTTGGATGAGGGTGGTATGCTGTCGTGCGTATGCGAGAACATCCGACGAGGTTGGTAAGGCTGTTAAAAAGTCTAGACTCGAATTGTTGACCTCGATCGGTGGTAATAGTTGAAGGGACGCCATAATGAGAGATCCAGTGTTCCAAAAAACATGAGCAACGGAATCTGCAGTTATGTTAGGTATGGGAGTTGCAATGGGCCAACGAGTAAATCGGTAAATCGCAGTAAGTAAGTAGTTGCAACCACGAGATGTTGGAAAAGAACCTACCAGATCGATATGGACATGTGAAAAACGTGCGTCGGGTGCGAGAAAAGTGTCAATGGGGGCTTTGTTGTGCCGTCCAACTTTGGCCGTCTGACAGGCCAAACATGAACGGGTCCACTGGCGGATATCAGTGTTCATGCTTGGCCAAACGAACCGCTCGCTGACGAGGCGCTGGATAGTGCGGATGCCAGGGTGAGCTAGATTGTGCAACGCGGCAAAAACATCTTGTCTCATCTCGCTTGGCACTACGGGTGGGGAGGCAACGCGCGATACGTTACACAAGATTGTACCGGGAGTGGTGGAAAGAGGAATGACTTCGAGTTGAAGACTAGTGTGTTAAAGGCTCTCACTGAAAGTCGGCTGATTTTGCAGTCCTGCCATGCGCTCCAAATCGATGGAGGTGCGGGTGATGGCATTAATGCCAGGCCGAGAAAGACAGTCAGCAACTTGATTATAAAGGCCTCTAAGAAATCGAATGTCGGTGGTATACTAAGAAATAAAATCGAGATGGCGGGCCTCGCGGGGTGAATACTTGTCAGAAGAAGTAGAGAGGGCATAAGTTAGAGGCTTGTGGTCAGTATAAATACAAAAATCGCGGCCCTCAATATAATTACGAAAATGCTTCATGGCTAAATAAATTGCAAGAAGTTCTCTACCAAAAGTGCTATAGCGAGTTTGTGGGGGTGTCAATTTGGCAGAGTAGAAAGCCAAGGGCTGGGTGCCAGTGGGCGTCTGTTGCTGAAGGGCAGCATCTATAGCGAAATTAGAGGCGTCGGCCACAATGGAAAGTGGGGCATCAGGTATAGGGTGAACAAGGACAGTTTTATCCGCAAGAGCCTTCCTCGCAAGATTGAAAGCCTCTACCGCTGTGTCAGGAAAAGAAAACTCACGGTTTTTCCCGCGTAAAAGGTTAGTAAGTAGTAGCATTAATTGAGCACAATGAGGGATGAAACGTCGATAGAAATTGACAAGGCCTATAAAACGGCGCAATTGTTGAAAAGAAGTGGGAGTAGGGAAATGGCGAATAGCTGAAACTTTGGCATCTATGGGATGACAACCAGAAGCATCTACGCGATGTCCTAGGAAAACCAGCGACTGTGCGCCAAAAAACGCATTAAGAAACATTAATGAAAACGCCGAATTGACTCAATCGTTCAAAAATGAGACGCAAATGTTGTCGGTGCTCCTGTTCACTGGTACTTGCTACCAGAACATCACCGACGTTGACAAAAACGAAAGGTAGATCGCGGAGGGCTTCGTTAATGAAACGTTGCAAAGTTTGGGCGGAGTTGCGTAGCCCAAAAGGCATCCTGACAAACTCGAACAGACCGAACGGTGTTGTAATCGCCGTTTTGGGAATGTCTTCTGGAGCAACGGGTATCTGATGGAAAGCATTGACTAAGTCAATGTTGGAAAATATTGTTGCTCCAGCTAGGCTAGATGAAAAGTCGTGGAGATGGGGAAGTGGATACCTGTCAGGCACAGTGGAGGTGTCTAACCGTCGGTAATCCCCGCATGGGCGCCAGTCAACGAGAGACTTTTTGCACACCATATGTAGAGGTGCAGCCCATGGACTATTGAAAGGCCTAACTATGCCTAGCTCCATCATATGACTGAATTCAGCCTTGGCTATTGCTAACTTATCGGCGGCTAAACGACGGGGACGACGAAACACGGGTGGTCCAGTAGTTGAAATATAATGTACAACAGAATGTTTGATAGGTTGGTTAAATTGTGAAGGTCGTGTGATAGATGGAAATTCCGAAAGTAAACGATGACAGGTAGTAGACGAAGGGATTGTTGAAATGCGTGAATAAGGTTGTCTTAGCGGAAAACGTAGAGACTTTCAAAAGAAGACTAGATAAACTTATGCTTGATGGTCAAATATTCACATGATATCAATGACTGGCATAACTGCTATGTAAATATCTGCATGTTTTTTTTTCATACGTCTATCTGTCAATAGGGTTTTCCAAGGCTCTGCCTCTATCCTTCATATATACTGAATTATACTGAAAAAGGTGATGAAAGGGTACGAGTGGAACAATTACAATGTAAAGAAGTCTTAGGATCAAATAATTTATGGGACTTCATGTCAACGAGGAGACCGAAAAGGATATAAAATCAGCGCCGAGAATGGCAGTATGGACATCAGCGATAGTAAATAGCCAACGAAATGAACGTCTTAGACCCAAATCTAGTGTTAGGGATCGTTGACCAAAAGTTTTAATAGAAGTATTGTTAGCTGCTTGGAGGAAAAATGAAGAATTTGGTGACTTACGGTCAGTCAAGGTGGGTGGGATTACACTGATCTCCCCACCAGTATCCACAAGAAAATTACGACAGGAAGTCCTGTCATAGATGTGGAGTAAGCGACTGGGAGAGGATGTGCCGACCACGTTCGTCGCCCTAACTGGTCGGCAGGGGAGTTTTCCGACGCGGGTGTTTTATACTTGCACGGAGAGTGGCAGCGATGGGCGTTAGAACCATAATTGTGATGATACCAACAGAAACTATCAACTGTAGGTTTGTTTAGAGTGGGAGATTTCGGGCGGCGAGAAATTGCAGGACTACGAGGGTTATAGACACGAGTGGCTTGGAGCTGGGAAACTTCGAGAGTGAGGGCATCCAGGCTTTCGACGACATCCTCGATTGTGGGGGCAGTTGTGCTTCGACTAGCGACGTTAACTATAACAGGAGGCTGGTATTACTCGAGTATACGGTCAGCAGTCTCCGCGAGCATCTGAACAGTCGATGAAGGAATGTTAGGCGCAAGGATGGCTTGCGCAGAAGGAGGCAACCGTTAGAGGAAAAGTGGCTTGAACATGGTGGCATCCAGCTTTTGTCCGTCTGCCAACTGCTCCAAACGCCTAAGAAGCAGCATAGGCTTCCTGTCACCGAGGTCCTCCTCAGAAATTAAACGTTGGAGACGTTTTTGCGTTGAGAGTGAAATGTGGGAAATGAGAGCCTCCTTTAGTGCAGTATAAGGGGCTTCTGTGGGCGGGCAATCTATGATGTCGCGGAGGTCGGTGGCGATGTCCATTGGGAGTGCTGCCACAACATAGTGAAATTTCGTATCCTCTCGTGTGATCTGACGGAGGGCGAATCGTGACTCTACAGTGCGCAGCCACAACGCGATGTCACCGAGCCACACGGATGGCAGGTCAAAGGTGTGAATGCCGGCTATCGGCTGGCTGGCAGAATCGTTGGACATAGATAGCCGAGGTCGGTCAGAGGTCGGATAAATGGGGTAGATGACTGGCGCGTTGACAGTGAGATTGAAGGGTAGCGCTCATATTGGATGAAAGGGTGAGACAGTGTGAATAGCAAATAAGGGCTAGATGAATAATCTGATCGATAAAAATAAGAGTGAGGATTAATCCGAATGGAAATAGTTGTGCACAGAAATAAAACAGAAGGAGCTATGAACGATACAGTGTCACCAGTGTAAGAGACAAACCCACTAGTTGGGCTCAGCGAGGAGGCTATCCAGAAAACGTAAATAGCAGTATCCCAACAGTGACAAACTGGTAAATAAGAACAAAGTCGTCAGCAGGTAAAAGTGCACGTGCGTGTTCTTTGTCTTATTCAAAGTTGTGCCAAAGCGTATTGCAACTGATTAAAGCAAAGCGGACTTAAATGTCGCTACAACTTTCTGATATCGGTTGGACAGATAGGACCTGATGAAGTCGAGTGGAGGCGGCCGGATGCCGAGAGCTTCCAATTTTACTAAAAGACGTCTATGGAGCACCTTGTCAAAGGCTTTGCTAAGATCAAAGTAAATAACTGCCACTAACTGCCACTGACTGCATATTAGGATCTGATCGTCTATCGGATCTGGTTCAGTTGCGGACAAAGCAACCACATCGAATAAACCCAAAGACTGCTCCGGACACAAATAATCGAACACGCTGCACCAGCTCACAGAAATGACGCCAGCTCTCAAGTTGTGACTCATTCGACGAGATCTGGCCACGTTCAAAATCGACGAGGCCGTAATTCTCGCTAGAGGTGACAACGCATAAGCCGCGATGTGCTTGAGACATTGTTCACTGGCCCAAGTCTATTAACAAGTGCAACGACCTTTCCCTTCCATTCTCGGTGCTGAGACTTCGCCAAGGAGGAATAATTTACCACAGAAGGGCGCAGAGGTGAACACTGTTCCCAACGCTAGGGTCAATGGATCAAATGGTCGAACAATAATCATACCAACATCCAACAACCCTGATGAAATTGCAGCGATTAATGACGTGAATTTCGACCATCAAACAATCATCAAACCATGTACAAAAATGCCTGATGAAGAGGAGAGACGTGAATTTTCATAGGCATGCGGAAACACGAAGACTGCATCGTACAAATATTACAACTCATTGTGCATGAACCACTCCTATCTGCTTTTGTCACTGGGGACGGGTACGAGCAGGAATCCGAAACGTCAGGCGAATAAAGCTCTTGTCCCAGCGATCGTGTCTCCTGCACAAACGCTTCATGGGACTCGTCTCTGCGCTTTTACTGCCAACTATTTTCACTCCCTTCTGCCAGGGTCGAAAAGTCCTACGTCGTGACCTACGTGCAATCACTTAGGCGTCCCAGACAAAGCGGGTTGTTCTCTCACTAAACCAATCCGTGACCTTATTGGGACAAATTTGCGGCTCTATCTAGGGACAGCACTGTTTACCCCCTTCAGGGGAGAGGGCTGGAAAGGACTCCCCGAAGAAACGTTGGGTTCACGACATACTGGAACAGACCGTGGATGCAGACTACCAAATACGCGACGGAAACTATAAAAACAGAAACTATTCCCTCTTACTCTCCTCCTCCTCTCCGTCCCATTCTCACAAGCCGTTATGGTGAGTCTGTTCACTCTGACAGCCTATAATGTTAGTTTCATTTTAGACAACCCCAGAATCAACCGACCGGGAGATAGGACAGCGCTATTCGCCCGAGAATTGGCGCGCTACATGGTGCACATCGCTAAGCTCAGTAAGACTCGGTTCTCCTAAATATGTCGACTGGAGGAAGTGGGTGCTGGCTAAATCTTTTTCTGGAGCGGCCGCCCCAATTCCGAGCGACGAGACGCGGGCTTTACCTTTGCCTTTCGGAATGACATCGCGGGATGGCTGTCCTGTCTGCCGTATGGCATCATCGACTGACTGGTGGGCCTAAGCCAGCCCCTTTTGGGGATCCCGAACTGACACCGTAATCAGCACCCACGCTCCATCAATGACCAATACTGCCGAGGCAAAGACCAAGATCAGAGATGACATACACAACTTGTTGGTATCTTTGTCGAAGGCGAACATGTTGATTAACCTTGATGATCCCAATTACCACGTCTAGACAGACTGCGCTGTTTGAAGGGGAACGTCGGGTCCTCACGGGATCGGTGGCCGTAACGACAGTGGTCTCCATCTCTTGCGTAGTTGCGCTGAACACCGACTCCCGTTGACCAACACCCTCCCCCGCCAGCCGATGTGGAACAAGGTAGCCCAAATGCACCGTCAGTCGCGGCGCTGACAGCTGCTGGATTATGCCTTTGTCCGGGGATGAGATCGACGGAACGTGATGGTGACCAAGGCGATCTGGAACGGACCGCCGCCATGTTCTGCCTGCAGCCTTGCAGGGGGCCACAAGGTAAGCGACCTCCAGGTAAGGTGAGTACTGCTTTGTAAAGGAAACCGTCGCAGCCTCGCATCCACGTCAACGACACCGACCCTCAGACTGGGGAAAACTTCGCTTGCTTAGACAGCACAATGGCAGGTTGCAGACTGGCCCCTTAACTCAGTCAACGCAATCAGCCTAGTTGCGTGTTTGTATTGAATGAGACTGGTGGTTTGAGAGCCAGGCTACAACGATTCCTTTTTACCGCGACTTCTGGCACTCACACGCATGTCTGTGGTATTCTTGACTCTGTCTTGAAACCGTGTTCATGTGGGGGGAGGGGAGATTATGGCAGGCGCCGTACAAATATACTACCAATACATAAACTAGTTAGAACGTTGTGGAGCAGTTTGTTTAAACCCAAGTATTCCTCAGTGAGACGTGTGGATTCTGTCTCGAGAGGTGGTACCCGTGCGTGGGCGGTAGATTGCTCGATATGGATGGTGACTGCTGCCTACAGTAATTACTTATCACTCAACTTTCATCTGTGGTTTCTCGTGATAGGTTCTTTCTAGCGGCCACACTCCGGTAACAACTTTGACTGGCAGGATAAATCAAATGAGGGTATCCGGTGTTTTGCATGTTCCCCCACCTGTTAATTTTGTTCTCTTTGTCATCCCTACTCTCTCTCTCTTGCTCCTCCACCTCTCTTTCATTTTCTCTGCCTTCTCCCTCCTTCTTCTTCCCTCTTTCCGCTTTAAATTTTTTACAGAGACGACAATATACAATCCAGTATGTAACTCACGCTAATTTGTGCCGCTCTCCCCTAAACAACACCGTAGCCGTAACTCATGACATTTCATGAGTTAGCGCACCTACTGTATGCTTTGTAGCCGGGATGGGCCTCATAATATGCAAGACCCCATATTGCGTCTATTTAAGTAGGTTTTGTCAGACCACACTTTTTGTTCGTGTACCATTCAGGCCTTAGCTTCGTCGTGCTCTACGTGTTCCGCCGGCTTGTGCGATTGACCTTGCAATCAATCGACCCGAGAACCAGGCGCTGCAGGAATGTCCATATACACTCAGTAATCTGTCCCTCACCCCGGACTTGTCAGATGTTATACGAAAGTTTTGTCCGTAATTAACGGCGTCCTTGAGGCACTCTATTATCCGCCTTCCACCGCCTTTATAATTTTTGGGTTCCGGTAGGCTTTGCCAGTCCTTCGTGGCTACCTCCTTTGCATGGGTCAGTTAAGTTCATGTTCACCTTAGAAACATACCAGAGGCACACTATTTCAAAATTACTTTGTAAACATGAAAATTCATACAGCTGAGGGAATTGGCTGATGCATACCCCTTCCGTCCGGTTTATTCATTGTCCAGCTGCTGAACCGGGGACACTTTGATGATGTGTGAGAGGATGGTTCTCAATGCTTGTTTTAGGACGACGGTGGCAAGTCCAAGCCATAGACGATATTGTATCACGTCGATCTGGGTCCAGGCAGCTCGACCTGACGCAGGTCCTCCTTTTCAGACGACTGCCTGTAAATTGCATTGTAGCTGCATTCGCAAAATGTTTACAGTGGTTTGCGGTATAATGCTCATAGCCCTCAGATGGCAAGCGTGAGTCGGCTCTCCGTTCGTCCGTTACAGTAATACTACCCTTCGCCATCCACTTTGTTATTATCGGGCTGGGAGTCTGCCAGGTTCTATTGTTGACTTGCTCGACCAATCCTTTCTCTTGCTTCCCATCGTTCATTCTGATTAGCCAGAATTGATACTTTCGCCTACCGGCGTCGTATTTTCGGTGGCCCGCCAGAGTCTCATCAGTCTAAACCTGGAAATTCAAGTAACACGGTGACATTCACAACGGACGCGGTAAGGAGTACTTTGAGACGGCTGCAGCCCACCAAATCGCCAGTTCAGGATGGTGCATCCTCAAAAGTTCACCATGAACTTGCAGACCAACTAGCATCCCCACTCTCCAAGATCTTCGAAAGTTCCATGGAAGCAGGGGCTCTGCCTACTGACTGGAAGCTAGCGAACATCAGTCTCATACATAAAAAGGAAGAAAGAACCTCGCCAAATAGCTTCAGACCAGTAAATCTCAGAAGCATTTGTTGCAAAATACTGTAGAAAATAGTTAAAAGGGGGCTAATGAGACATATCGAGGAGAAAAGCTTGTTTAGTGAGCATCAACATGGATCTAAGGTGGTCGATCATGTCTCGCTAACCTGCTCATATCTATGAAAAACTGGCTGAAATCCCTAGAAATGGATTTGTCAGCAACAAAGCATTCGACAGAGTGCCACACAGACGGCTTATATATAAATTGCGCCATATGGAGGCGACTGTCAATCTTTTCAATTGGTTGACCGACTTCGTCACAGGCCGATGTCAGTGGGTATGTTTTGGAGATGCCAAATCGGCGTGGGAAACCGTTCACAGTTGCGTTCCACAGGGGAGCGTCCTAACTCCTATTCGGTCCTAGGTATATGTGGACAATTGCCTAGACTGCCCAACCTGTGAGAAAGCAATGTTTGCTGATGATTTGAAGATACGGAGTTCGACCGAAATGCCACACAATGTGCTGAACTTGCAAAAAGA